TAACAAGATCATTCACCTACCAGTCACATCACATTTACCCAAAAACTAATAAAGAACGTCAATGTCTTAAGTAAATATAGATTTAATATTATCGGAATGTAGGTTTGTAATTGATATATTTCATAAATTACGATATACATAATATACATACTTCCATGAAGTACATCCTTAAAAAAATATGCTTTTACATTTTATATATAAAGATGTATAACATTTCCTGTGATAAAAAGACAGATACCATATTTAGGACATTAAATTTTACTAATAGCATAAATACATACGTTACATGGTTTGTGTTTTATATTTATTAAGTAAAATAGATTTTTGCTGATAGGTTAATTATGTGTCTGATGATAATTCATATTTTCCTGCTAATATTTACTGTTGGAATTGAAAAGGTTTAAAATTGTTTCGTTTTTGTGTTATTTTCTTTTGAATAGAAACTTTCTGTAAATCGTCTCCACTATAGTATCCATGATTCAGAGGCATGTTTTTATCAACAAATAGAAGTGGTTTGATTATCAAGAAATATACCCCATTCATACGACATGATTTGCATACCTCAGTATATTTTACAAATGAGTAAATTTACTCACATGTGCAATTTTTGTTGTATGAACTGATATACTCATTTGCAGATTCTGCACAGTTGAGTAAATTTACACCTGGTCTGGACAAGGTGTAGATTAACTTCTGCATACACTTTGTAGCAAACTATTAGTTCATGTGTGTGTAAATTGTATCATATAAACACGCAACAGATTTACTTATGTGTGTATTTTGTTCTGTTTATTTTATAAATTTTCATTTTAAGTGTTGTTTTGGTTGTGTATGCAATGGAGTATAAAATATCAGTCAGTAAACATGGCTAGATTGATTGATTAATTGTATATTGTTTAACTCCCTCTCGAGAATTCTTCATTCTTACTAGGCACTCAAGGCCATTGAGCAGGGAATGATCTTTTCTTTGCCAGCACCTGCTGCGACACGGAACCTCCGTTTATACGGTCTCATCCGAAGGATCGGACTCCACGCCCAACAATGGGATTCGAACCTGCGACGTAAGGATCAAGTCCTTATTTTGCGACTCTATAGCAGACGCACAAACCACACGCGGACTTGGTGACTAGAAGGCAAAACTCTTAAAAACAAGGAGCTATTATCCCCACCGAGATAATTTTTTTAATTGGCAAAAACGAGGGCATCTTGAACCTTTCTTGCAAACCTATGTTTATGTCTCTACAGATATAGAGCTGTGGTCGTAAACAAGTGTCCTGTACGATCAATAAGTAGTGTCCTTACTATGCAAGTTCTTTTCTTGGGAATGCTCGGGAGCTATGATAGGAACATGCATCCCAGCAATCGCTCAGCCCCATTATTATTTAGCTCTTGATGACTTTTTTCTACCTTTTTGTTTTTAATACAGGGAAGCTACTTATATATAGATTAATGTTACAGGAATTTCAATAAACTAGTGAAAGTAAGCATTCGTAAGTAACCTTTACACCTGATCTCATCATGAATTTCCAGAGGTTCCTGTTAGTTTCCTATTGACATATTTGTATTGTTCAAAGATTTTTGAGATCGATCACTGTTAGATTTTTCACCCTTTTCATTCTACTGGAAAATATATGATTATTAATAAAATACAGTATTCAAGCAGATATTTTATAATGGCCTCGCACACTTAACATACTGAAGACTTCCCAACAGCAATAATATTTTGAATGGTTCTATTTCTGCCAAAAAAGTCAACTAGTAGATGGCAAGTCACCTTATTCTTTACACCCAACGGCTCTTCTACAATCTTTGATACGGAAGCAAAGACATTTTCCAACAATAAAGCAATATGAACTGTATTTTTGAGATTTTTATTTTGCTATTTATATGTGTTATTATGATTAATATAATTTGTATATGATTTAAACCCTTGTGATTAATAAAACCAAAGTAAATTGTTTTAATTGTTTCAGAAGAAATGTTTTTGTACAATCGAATATAGAGCATTATATAAGAGATCAATAGTGCACAGGACGACAATAATGTAATTTTGCTATAATTAAAGCTTATATATAAAAGTTCTTCCATCGCAAATATGAGTAACTGTAGTTTATAAATGTTTTTTTTTCTATCATTGTAAAACTTGATTATAAAATTGCAATACAAATTTCCCATGTCAATCTTGCAGCTCACATTGATAATTTTATTACGTTTTGCTTCTTCGTGTTTAATTCTTATACCATTCTTTCTCCCTAAAGTAATTATTTAAGTTGTACCAAGAAATCAGTGAGGAAGATTTAAAAGTTTCTCTTAAAGATTAGTCTTATATTCAAACAGTAAGGAAAAACCCTTTCCTATAAAACTTCACAATTCTGAATCTGTTAATCTCCGTAATCTATATGAATATGTGAGGATTAACTTACTGTACATAACTCTCGTCTGAACGCATAGCAAATTAACTTTTGCTTACCTATGTAGATTTACTTATGTGTAAATTTGCACACATGAGCAAATTTTCGTCGTAGGAATGAAGTATTATTTCCAGGAATTGTTTACTTTATGTTTTTGACAATTGATGGATACATCACAGTTTTCTTGTTGATTGTATATAGCATTTATGCAATAACTTCATACGTGTTATGTATTCATTTCATTATATTCTATAATACATATGAGAATAATCTGTATCTAAAAGACTGTGTATAATTTATAATGTATAATTTATCCAAAAAAAAAAACACTCCATAGTATATGATTCTCTTTTGGATCCCTGCAAAAACCCTGGCTTTTTACTTAAGGATTTAATACTGAAAACTCACAATCCATCTCTGACTGATGGATTGTGATATTCTCCTGTCGTTTTTTATTTAATGGTTTCTTTCAGTGGCAGCAGACTTTTTATTCGTCCTTTTGCAAACAGTTCTCTGCGTTGCCTTGACTTACAGAAAAAAAAAGCTCAATCATGTAACCTTTGTACTTCCTAAATTTGACAGAAATGGTACAAAATGATAACATTAGTTCTCATCTGTTCGACTGTCTTCTGTATTAAAAACTTAGCAGTGTTTTAAAGTAACTTTCTGTAATCTAGCATAAGGAAAGATATGCCACATCGAAAAAAAATGAAAGTTTCAGACCGTTAATGTAAAACAGTTTTCTATTCACGGCAACTTTATACATACAGTGATATTAACCGCAAATAAAGTTGCTTGCGTATGCTAAAATGTATTGACAATCAAGTTTATTTCAAGATATTTCAAACAAGAAAATATCTCTTTTTAATTATTTCCTGCATCCAACTTGACCTGTCACAGTTGACGTTTTTACTTAGGCAACATTTATGCCAGCTTTATGCTGTAACTGCTTTTAAAATTGCACGTGTAGATTTTTCCATTACGTGTTTGCTTACCTAGTGAACAACTGTGAATTCACTATTTTCTGTGAGGTATTTATTTTCGTGGTTCTTAAGGTATAAAATGAAAGACCCATGAATGTATGTCTATCATAATATCATTTCTCCAACTATATTACTATTAAACATTTTTTTAACCATGAAATCAAGTCCTCATAAACGAATATATTTTTCTCAAACCTCGAAAATATGTGATGTTAGAGTTTCATAAAGACGATAGCATGACGCTTAATCTCTATTTTTATCATCTGGTTAAAGAACATTACACCCGACTTGTTAACTGAAGGCTTTAACATTACACCCGATTTGTTTCTTTGTCTCTATGTGCAGATTAAGCATTATTTCAACAAGCCCGAGGACCACTTGCCTTTTTAAGTTAAAATAATAAGCCCGCGATTCATGTGCAACATTAGCTATTCACCATGTAAGTTTCAACGTTATGTCATTGAAATTAGACATCATGTATACACAGTACATAATACAAACAGGATTCGGAAACACGTTTTACAACTTATATTATTTCCTTTAGTTAAAACAATTCACCAATCTGGGTCTCATTCATGGGCGTCGGAAGCAAATTGAAAGGGGGGGGGGTAAATCGAAAGTGTGTGTGTGGGTAGGAGGCATATCAACAAAAAAGGTAAATCAAAATTACCACTGTCTATATAATGGTTAAGCCCCCCCCCCTCCCTCAGGTCTTGACGCCTTTGTCATTTTAACAACGTATTACGATTCTTTTTGAACATCTATCATAAGTACTTTTTTAAAAAAAAATTAACACGCTTAAAAGTATCCTTATAGAATTTTCTGATATATATATATTACAAATGTACGTCTATAAGACTCAAAAGTAAATATAATAATGATGATTTATAGTGTTACATTAACATTTAGAGGCTTATGTATCAAAGTTGAAATAAATCAATAAATTCTTTATAATGTCTTAGAGTTAGATAATTTTTCACTTTGAATTTTAGAAAATTGCTGATTTCCAATTTCATTCAGTTTGAGTTGATGAAGGAATATATATATCAAAATTACATATTTAAAAGATACTTTTGTAGCTAACAAAAAAAAAAAAAAAAACAATGTACAACATCATAACATAACAGGCATTAACTAAATTAAAAACAGAACACCATTCATTGTTAAATTTTAAATTGCAATTTCAAAAAAAAACGTTTATGAAAATTCATGACAATTCATATGAACTTCGATAAAATCGATACCTAAACAATAGTGAAATATAGAATACGTAACAGTTAGCCAATCGCTTTTCAGACATTGATTATGGTACGATATATATATCTGGCTGTTGAAAGACCATTTAGCAGAATTTCACAGATTCACGAGAACGCGGCAGATTTTTATGCAACAAAAAAAAATGAGCAATCAGTGGGTTATCACTTTAATTGTAGGCTTCTTAGCTTTATCTAAAGCAACCATTATTTCTCAAAAATATGCTGCGAAACTTGACTTTAATGATAAGAAGTCAAACAATGACCTTTTAGGGGAACATGATGCTAAATCTTTGACTGAGTGCGCCGCAATGTGTCAAAGGGAGTGCGTGTTTTTTGGTTTTAATCCTAAAATGAAGAAATGCCGTACCCACAAAAAAAGTCTAACATCTGGGCTGTCTGATGAGCTGTCTGAGGAGGCCGGCTGGAGATACTACTCGGATAACGGTATGTATATTTGGTTTTTTTATTCTCTTAGCTTCTTTGATTTTTTAGGTACTTCTCGAGGGGACAGGATTTTTTTTTTTATCAAGTTTCCTGTATTTTTTTTTTTTTTTTTTTCTAGCATGCCCAAAGATTGCAAAGATCTTCAAGAAAATGGACAAACCATCACAGGGGTGTATGATATATACCCCTACAGAACATTAACCATTCCAATAAGTGTCCACTGCGACATGACCACGATGGGCGGTGGATGGACGGTAGGTTTTTTTTTTATTTTATAATTAAAAGTACTTAATATAACACACTTTGCTTTGGTGGTTTTAAGGATTTTAGGATTGTATTGTAGTTTATCTCATAAAAAATGGATCCTACGAATGTTCGAAGCAATAAATTGAAATGTAATGTATGTTAATTTTTACAGGCAATTCAGAAACGCGTAGACGGATCCCTGAGCTTTGACAGGAACTGGGTTGATTATAAGAATGGTTTTGGTTCACCAGAACAGAATGTCTGGATTGGTAAGTGTAAATCGGTTTCAAATAAGAACTTTTTAGTCCTTCAAAGTTTTAAGATAAAAAAAATTCTTGTGGCAAGCAAAAAATTATAATGTTAAGAAGACCAGGTAATGTGTGTTCTATGATATTCAGATATCGTGTTTTATTGATATTTCAAATAATAAAAAAAAAATAGAAAAGAAGAATATCATTTAGCGGCATATTCTAATGATACAAAATTCAGCAATATTGTTTACAGTTATGGAAAATAATTTGATTTTTCATTACGGTAGATTCATATAGATTTTAAAAGAATTAATTGTATTCGATGAACTTTTCAGATGATTTCAAATATATCTTAATACAGGAAATGACGTAATCCATAAATTAACAAAAGAAAACACCTCATCCCTGTATGTGTCCATCACTCTCCAGAATGGTACAACGCTGTATGAATTGTACGACCGATTCTCTGTCTCCGACGAAGCAGGAAAATATCAACTCTCTCTTGCAGGACCTGCCACAGGGACACTAGGTAAGTGTATTTATGTTAAGTTCTTAAAATTGGGTTCAAATCACGTATATTATCAATAAGTATTCTTTTCTGTATTGAAAGATTATAAAGTTCTTGAAAGAAAGAAAGATGTGTTTTTTTCTGATATTATGTATACTTATTTCATTCCACGCTAAATAAACATGTTTAATATTACAGAATTTCATTTGCAGATACAATTCATATACTCAGTAGATATTGAATTTGTTATTGTCATGTAGATAAAATTTCTAATTATACATCTTATGTACGAGGAAAAATTATTTTTTTTTAAACAAACAAATCCAATAATTACATTTGTTCAACATTGCTTTTCAGATTGGGTTTCCTGATATTTTTTTTATAATTCACATTTTAACTGATACGGAAAAAGTTTACAATAATAATAATTAAATAATAATCTGATTTTCAATGATCCACATTTTTTACTACTACTGAATAAGAAGTTTACAGTGCGTCATTACTCTTAAATTTCTAAAGGTTTGCAAAAATTTGATGATAAAAAATATTTGATCGGATAAATATTCAAATAAAAAAAGCTTAAAATGCCAAATTCAAAAGACCTCAACGCGTTTCACATTTACATTTATTTAATAGGAAATCTACCATCTTTAAAGATTCACAGATACACCATATCTTATCTTGTTATTTATGATTTACTTTATATTGCATGTTATACATTTTTGAAGGCACGTTCTCGGACAAATATTAAAATTTCTTTTTTTCATATTTTCTAGAATTTCAAATGACCTTTAACCCCCCCACCCACAGTGTAGCCCGTCTGTTGTATATTGTTACACTAGAAAGGATGCTATGTGAATTGTGTAGTGTTTTGTTGTCTTGTATTATTTTTATCTCTCCGTACAGGAAACAGCACGTTAAACAATGTATTTCAGACGTACTTCAGTATTAAGATTAATGTGATGTAAATTAATAACTATTTTCTCTGTTATATATTTTCTCTAATTCTGCAGATGCCAGTATGATAGAAACCAGGGATTCTACGGTGAACTAAATAAATATTATCGCTCTACCCAGCACCTAAAGCCGTCTATCTTAGAAGTACCTCAGTATTATTATTGACAATTAGATTAAAAAATAAATAAATCAATTAACTTTGTGATTCTTTTTGTTTGATTTTACAGGGGACAGTATGTTAAATACAGGTTTTATTTTACCGCGATCTGTCTGTGATGTTCTTCTCCACCCAGACAGGGTTCACGACGAGTATAGTGGATATAAATCTACTGATCTATTTTAAACAAGTGTCCATGTATATTTTTCTTTTTTAATTCTACAGGAGACAGTATGTTACACACCGCTTATTCTTACCTTGATCTGTCTGGGATGTCCTTCACCACCCCAGACAGAGATAACGACAGGGCTAGTTATAACTGTGCTGCTTCCGTAGAGGAGGCTGGTGGTTCCGCTACTGTCACCGAGCCTTCCTTAACGGTCAATGGTCCCCGGGGATCTGGTACTACCCATGGTATCCCACAGTAGAGTACGGGACGTCAGTGAAGGGGACCACCATGATGATCAGACGGAACTAGGTAAACATCATTACATCTTAATATCCATTTTTTTTTCTTTTTGTATCACTCTGAAATTTTCATTTATAAAAGTTGTTTTTTTTTTAAAGAAAAGATATGCTATCATACATTTATCTGTGAAGTATTAATTTAATTTTTTTTTAACAGACGAAAGATCATCCATGGATTACGGAAACCCCCAAGAGACGATTTTAAATTAATTTTTATCGCTGAGTTCTTTTTTTAATATTTAACATCAAGTAACAAACAGTAAAAGAAGGTGGTTGAACGGCTCTGTAAAGCGATACTGGATGTATTCAGTAAAAGATGTATTTTATATGTGTTGTAATAAATTTGAAAATAGAAATATTTCGTTCTTTTTTTCCAAACACTGATAAATGGAGATAACTGGGCGGAGAATTAGGATGAAGATTACTTTATTGTTAAACCTATTACAGTGGAACCTGTTTAATCCGACACATGCAATACTCTTTACTGTGATTTCAGCCATTTAATTTCATTTGTCATTTATAATTATCTCAATGATCTTTACACGCTGCAATACTACATCTTGTTTATTCCAACACATATATTTTTAATCTGTTCCCCGTGCATGTCGGATAAAACAAGTTTCATTGTAATAAAGATGTTAAGATATATATATTTTTTTTAAATCGACGGTAATTTTTTATTGTGTGTGTGTTTTTTTTTTTTCAAAACACTCTAACACAGATCCGGGATTAAAAGGTTACATTTGTAATTAGCTTTTTATTTTGACGTCACAAATCTTAAAAGCAAAATTTGAGATCATTTAAATCAAAAAAATCCAATTTGCAAAACAAGACAAGGAGTTAGAAAAAAAATAAGCACTGATTCATTATTTTTTGAAAGATGTTATCTTATATTTGCAACTGCTTTTGCAAATAAAAAGCAAGCTAACATTAATCAATATGTTTGCTAAAACTTTTGTAATTATGAGACTACATCTTTAAAAAATGATTCAATATGTGTGACAAGTCATTCTCCTTTATGCAATGTGTATACGATGGTTTATATACTAGTATATCCAAAAATTTGATAGACTACAACTTGAAATTTGTTATTAAATCAATAGGAAAAGTTTTAGGAGCTAATGATAAAAATTCAAGAAAAGTTTGTGAAACAAAGAGGCTTATGATAAATGTTGTCGTTTGCAGGTCAAACACCAAGGTCAATATAAAGGTAGTTTTGGTACCAAAAGAAACGTTCCTCACAATGAGTCTACCTTCTAAAATAAAAACCATATAAGCAGCAACAGTTCAGTAATTATGACCAAAGTTAGAGATTTTCAAAAGTAGGTCAAACTGGACAAGGTCAAGGAGTCAATATTAATGATGCCCAAAAGAATTTCAGAAAGAATACACAGGTGAAATATAAAAGTCACGAAATCAACCATTCAAAAGTTATCACCAAAGTTTTTTCAAAAGGTGGTCAAAGTCTGATGTCCAAATAAAAGGATAAAAATATAAAAAAAAAAAAATATTGGTATTCAAGAGAAGCTCTTACCACAAGAAATGAACCCGTAAAATAGTTAACCCCTAGCACAAAATATTCAGTAAATACGACCAAAGTTTACGTTTTTGAAAAGTAGGTCAAATCCATAAGATCAAGGTTAAAGGTCATTACTGTTTGTACTCAAGAGAAGGTCTTATCAAAATATAAGCGTGAGGAGTATGATATCACTTGATTTAACCGTGTAGTAGCTATGGCTAAGAATAAAATTTTGAAAATTTCTTTAAAAGTGAGTCAAACATAAAGATCAAAGTCAAAAATACCTTTACCCTAGGAAAAGTTTTTACACGTTGAATACACCAGTGAAATATTAAAGTCATTGTTCATATGACCAAGGCTCAAATTCCAAATTCCAAATTGACCGTCAAAGTAAAGAAAAAAAACTGTGAAATATGAAATCCTTAGCTCAAACCAATTAAAGGCTGTAGTCAGGGCTAATTGATTTACCACTTACAGATAAATCAGGAAAAAAAATAGCAAACAAACAGACAACTTGACCGACCGTCCTAGGAAAATATATTTGCCCCTTATTTTTTGGATTACGGATAGAAATTTAAGAAAGAAAACACTTTGTGCTAAAATGTTTGTTTCTATGGTCAGAAAAGACCCCAGTAAGTTTCCTTGGGAAAATAACGAAACAATATAATGCACTGTCTGTCTTTGTGTACATGCTATTCATAGTTTATTTAAAACATGAGGATAAACCTAGATCACTTCCGAGGAGACGAATATACAATCCGAGGATAAATCTAAATCTCTTCCGAGGAGAGGAATATACGATCCGAGGATAAATCTAGATGACTTCCGAGGAGACGAATATACGATCCGACGTTAACTTAAGAATACTCCATTTAATGATTTAGAACTTTATACACCATGCTTAATGAAATTATATAACAAAAGATAATGGTTGCAAATGTTTATTTTAATTAAAAGAGAATGAATCATTATGTAACAGAACACTCTTCATGCTCCAAATAAAATGGAGAATCCTCACAAATAAAGGGGAGTTTTAGTCCGTCTTCTCCTGTATAGTACGTGTAGTTTCTCTCAGTCACCCAGCGCCATCTTCCGTCGTTATGATAAGTCAAAAGGAGGCCAAAGATTGGGTCAACTGCTGTCTCGCCCTCATCGTTAGGATTCCAGTTCTGATACGTCACTGGTGTCCAATTATCAAAAATGAGTCTTTCATTGTCGTCAAATGTCAAAACATTGGCACGAAATGCAAATGAACCGTTGAGATCAACTTCTGCAGAAAAGGACAAGAAAAAATTATATCATCTTCAAATTTGAAACACCACTGATACAATATGAGTTGTTGCTTTACATCCTGAATGCTCTAAAAATTATAAAATTTGATCCGCTGTATCCAAATTCAGTAGACATTTGAAGGGAAAGTATTCTCTTTTTTGCGTCGTGGTATGTGTAACAATAGAATATTTTCTAACGAGCATAAGCAAACCTAAGCCAAACTTTATTTCAATTTGAATAACAAAGGAATATAATGTTTATGGGTGAAATTAGAAATTAACAATTTTAATACACTGCAGAAATATATTTTCCAGATTTAATGTGCAGTGTTTTATTTAAAGTTTAAAATCAGATTTGTAGAAAGCAAAAAAAAAAATCTAAATAACTTTTTATCAAAGGTGTTATAATCTACATATTTTTTATGAAAGAGTATCAATTTTTTGATCAATTACAAATTGTAGAGAAATTTGAAAAAAAATATTTTTTTGCTATTGTATGCATTGATAAAAATGAAAGCATGTTATGAATTAATTGTTTACATATACCCAGGTTATGGGGTTTACGCCTTAAACAACAGTGCAATAACAAGATGTGTTTGTGAAACACTGATGCCCCCAATGGCAACATAGCGAAGGTTAAGCTTTCTCAAATGCAGATCAAATATGTTGGTACCTAAAGTATCTCAAATATGACATGGAAAACCCTTGCACCACCTGTTCAAAGTTACGGCCAAGGTTTTTTAAAGGTAACTCCGTTTGTAAAAGTAGGTCAAAAACCAAGGTCAATAAAGTGTTAAAAGTGTTGATATCCAATGAAAGCTCACTTGAGCCTTCGGCTCAAGTGAGCTAAAAAGCATGTAGAAACAAAAAGTTAAATGTTTTCTCAAATGACTATATAAGTGAAGTTTGAAAGACCTAAACCAATTCAAAAGTCCAATGAAAGTTTTCTTGTAAATGCGGCAATTTCTAAGTCAAAAGTTTGGAAGTTCTTTCAATGGAAAGCTCTTGTCACAAAGAATTGATATTTAAAATATGATATTCCTAGTAGCTATATTGTTAAGGTCAAAAAAAGTTTGGATTTTTTGTGTAAAAATGTGTCAAACTCCAAGGTCAAGTCAAAGAGTCAAGGATTTTTAATATCGAATGAAAGGTCTTGTCACAAAGGTTTCGTAAACGTTATGGCCAAGGTTAAAGTTTTTCGCAAGTACTAAAATCTCCAAGGTCAAAGTTTTTGGTATCCAATGAAATGTCTTAACAAAAATATATATATGTGAATTATATGTAAATTATAACAATCTGTTCAAAGATATGGCCAAAGTAAAAGTTTGGATTTTTATAAAACTAGATCAAACTCATAGGTCAAGGTCAAAATGTTTATTGGTACCCTAAAAAGGTCTGTCACAAAAAAATACACAGAGATAGTCACACTAAATCAAAAGAGACAGAGAGAGAGAGAGAGAGACAGCAGAGAGACACACAAAGAGAGAGAGAGAGACAGACCGACAGACAGAGGGACGGACACGACAAAAATACGACATAAAAATGTTTTAATGACCACATTGTATATGGCCAAGTTATCTGATAAGTAGATTGTTTAAATACCCGGATGGAAACATTTAACCATAAAATGTATTGTTTAATTACCCGGATGTATGCGGTTTACGCCTAAAAACCTCCCATATCCGTCACCATACCAGACCAGAAGCTCTTCACCCGGCTCTACGTCACGTGACGTCATATAGAAGATGATGCCCTCGCACGTGATAGGAACAACATTTTCCTGTTGATATTTGGCGGGAGAATTAACGAATCGTAACCAGTTACTACAGGCCGGATCTTCTGCATCTATGTTGTAAGTACCATTAGTCCCCTGTTTATCTACCTTTGAAAACAATAAGATCCTAATGGTTAAGAATGAATTTTAGTTCAGAATATGTTGTATATTTTATACTTGATGCAATCAGATCCATGTTGATCAAAATAACTTTAAGGTAATGAATATTTAGGGATTAAAAGAATTTAAAAAATAAAGCGTTGTGAGAGTGTTACATTAGCAATACTAGTCCCCTACCGTGTAATCTGGTTTCCTCTAAAATTGAAAATTTTATCAGAAATCACTGAAGTGGATCAAAAATAAAAATTCATCTATAACTCATCAAAGTCAAGCAACATACACAGAAGCTAGTCAAACGGATAAACAGGCGGACATGGAGGAACGAAAGCAGAGGAAATTTTTAGTCCATCTGGTTTCAACGGCAGGGAACTAGAAATATGTAATTAAAATATGCAACTGCGATTCGTTTTCATTTTGTTTGATTCTTTGTGTGATTTTACCTGCCATGAATAGAAATCATCCTTCTTGTCTACAGTGTGAATAAGTCCTTCATATACACCGAGGATCGTGAACTTTGGAACAAAGGTCTCCGCCCATGCGCCCATCCCCGCTCCCGGAAGTGACGAAGATTTGATGGCGAATCCTGCGGGCGTGGTCAGATTAGCTCTCTGGTGAGGCAGGGAACCTAGAGGAATCTTACATGTACAAGATAATGTCAAGGACACG